GGTGGAGAGGGTGGTTGGTGGGTGGGGGAGCTGAACTGGCAGAAAAATGCGATGTTTCTGGGGACTGAAGCTGAAAGGCTTCTTAGTCTCGTCGCGGAGTGAATCTGATTAACGTGCTTCGCGTTATGCTCTGAGCAGATTTTCGATCATATTCCGCTACAAATTGAAAATGAGTGTCCTAAATGAAATTTTTCATTTGTTTTCATATTTCAATTACATAACAATGCAGAAGTTTAATGAATGATTGATTTGATATCTTCCCCTTGTCTGTCGTGTTTCATCTTGATTAGTCTGCGAGAGATGTAGTTGAGACTAGCAAAATAAGGTATTGATTAGTGTATGATTTATCGTGAATATATTAGCAATGACAAATGTATGTATTGAACCGAAATAACTTATTGTTATCTTGTTTTCAGATTTAATGAATCACTGCGATTAATTCTGATTCTAATTTAATTCGCAGAGTGCAGATACTCAAAGTTGGTATACTGTGAACGATGTATTACTGTCGATTTTGGCTGCATAGATGTGTAAAAGCCCCTAATAAGTCTCGTTACGATCGACTAGAGGACTGAAATGTATAATTGCGACCTGCGCCTTATCATAAATAGTGTCACATTTTGATATAAATTTATTAATAACTATATTCAAGAATTCTTCCGCGAAACGTATTGTTTTTGACGTAGTCCTTGGTTGGAAGTGGTGGGGTATGCATAGACAAAAGCTGTCCGACTGCCTCATCCAACGTCTGATTAGAGTCAAATTCGTCTAACAAGACTCTAATAAACGGGTATTAATAAAGCTGCAAGTATTCTCACACCCAATTATTGTTTCTGCTGTAGTCATCAAATGGAGGACGCAGGGTGACGCAGGAAGACGATAAAAGTCAGTTCTGTCTCCCGCAGTCCCGATGCGCTCACCCTGATGCCTGGACACGTTCTGCTCCCCCACCCCCCCACCGGCGGCCGACCGGCCAATGGCGCGAATAATTACAGCGAGTGGCCGCGTCGCGGAGGAGGGCGCGACGGTCGCCGTCCGCTAGGGCGAGAGCACGCCACTCTCTCACATAAATAAGTGCGGATTGCACTGCGGTGGGGGAGGGGGGGGGGCTCGTGCGCGGTATGGGGGCAGGCGCCGGATTGATTCCGACGAGATGTCCAGCCGGAGCTTGTGCGCTCGAAGTCGCTATGTTCTTTCATGTTCAGCGTGTGTTGGGGATTATTCATTCTAGGCTGCCACAGTTTTTGTAAAAATAAATTTAAAAAAAAAACATAAATTTTTAGAAACATATTTCAACTTACTCATTCTGAATTCATATCAGACGTCTTGGTATTCTTTCGTTATGTGTGCCATGTTACCTATTAAATACATAAAAAACGATTAATAAGCTAGGCATTTTGCTTTATTAAAAGTGTAAGAGTTACTTTTGCATATTTTTTAAACAATTGTCTCGTCAATTTACTTTTTTCTTTAATTATTTTTTATTAATTTACTTTCTTATTTTTATTCAGCCGTTCACATGTTTGATTTATGAGACGAACCTGTTTCACGACCAACTTTCTATTTTTTTCGTTACATTTCCAAATTGTTAGTTTGATCTCATTTATAGTGTTTTATTCGTGTGGTAAATCAATATGCTGAAAGAATTGAAGTTTGTTTCTGGAAGAGAATTTAGGAAATTCTAAAATACCTACTTTACGCCCGTAGAAATACCCCTGGAGAGTAGGCATCCCTTCTTACATACGTGATCATAATGTTGCCGTAAAGCATGCGCAATGTGGCCAAAAAATAGTTGTGAATCACGGCTGCATGAACGATTCCTACTTCATTCACTCGGTTTTATAAGAAATAAGCCCGACATCATACTTAAGAAAAGTCGCACCATGCAGAAAGTTCCCATATGACCATTATTTCTCTATATTCGTCTGAGACCTCTTCTCGTACGGTTGAATTTGAAGCGAACCCGAAAACACGAAATAATCAGCGCAGAGGCAGAAATCTAGGTTGCAACACAACGCGCTAGCCGCATTCTACGGGACCCAGAGATTTGGCTGCGAGCCTTTGGCGGTAGAAGCGACCGCGGCAGATTCTTCACGTCCTCCCTCCCTCCCCCCTCCTCTTCCCCAGTCGCCGGCGGTTGTTTTCCACAGCCCCTTCCCCACCTCCTGGTCGCGGCCGTGGCCGTGTTAGCGATGTATGGATTCCAGGGGGCCCCTACCCCTCCGAAGGGAGCAGGGGGCGTTGGAATCGAAGGCGACCGCGCCGCCACCGCCGCCGCCGCCGCGTCTATCGATACACTCGAGATATCTCGCTTCATCCGAGGCCCATGGAATTGTTTCCTCGCTTTGGTAATTTGTTCGTCTGCCTCGCGGTTGGTTTTTCGGCGTGGCGGTGTCGGGGGCCAGCAGGCGGCGGCGGGGC